CATGCACCCCAATTTACATATTTTCAAACCTATCACATACCGCTACCCAGCCATACACTGTCACCCAGTCACACACCCTGTCACACACCGTTACCCATCCCCACACCCTGTCACATACTGTTAACCAGCCATGCACTGTTACCAGCCACACGCCCTGTCACGTTTATATGTTTCTATTATATAAAGGTCTAAATACACACATTATACACAGTGCACATGCACTGCCAAATAATTTGGTTCTATATAAATAGAATAAAACACATATTAATAGTAATAAAACACATTTTATAGACAATGCACATACATAGGTTATACACAGTGAGCATACACACATTATATACAGTGCGCATACACACTTTATACACATTGCACATATACACGTTATATACAGTGAGCATACACACATTAAACACAGAATGCACACATATACATTATACACAGTGCGCATACACATATTATATCGTATATGTGAGTGCAATATCATTATTACCTATATATGGCTTACTAAGTCTTGACATATTGCACTATTAGATTATCTCTGTCTCTTCGTTGCCCACATACGGAGACTAAAGGCACCCTCCAATCGTAAAGAACCTAGGAACTACAGCCGAACCTACTTTTTTAATAAGAGACACTTTCATATGTGACTGCTTGCACAGCTGAAAAAGACTCATAATATATTTTATTCTTATTTTATTTTTACTTCAATTATTTTATCACACTGTATGTGGCGCAGCCCTTTCCGGTCTATTTTCATTGTTATGGTTAAGAATCATTACTTGTGACCACATTTCCCAGTATTTACCTGTGTTTCCATGTTGGACTTTACCTCGACCGGGATGTGGCACATACAAGTATAAAGGGAGAGGTGTGAGATTTGGAAAGGGAAGTATACTATAGCTACATCCAAACACAGCACTGAAACAGTGATCATTGGCTCATCCTTGGTTACCACTGCATAAGCACAGGTGAGGACCTCTCAACCCTGATTCCAGGTCACCTCTTTGCAGCCACCAAACACGGTGTACTGCATTATCCCTCAGAGTACAATCCTCTATGTGTTAGTGTATGAGGGAGATGTTTGTGGAAATCCCACCACTATGGACCTTGCAATGGTTCTAAAGGTCCCAGTGGTGCATCCAGGTCCTCTTACGTGATTTTAACTCTTTCATAGCTAGGTTTCCTGGGTCAGCACATGATGTATAAATCTGAATCCCAGGGTGCACTGTGTCTACGACTCCTTCTCACGCGTCTGCTAGCTGGACCCAAATCAAACACTCTGGCCTGGCAGGAGAAATAGGATTTTGCACAGAAACCCTTTCAGTTGAGCGGCTTCTGGCATTACATTTCATCCGGATTAAAGACATTCAGGAAACAGATTATTGGCTTTTGTAAATATTTTGTTTACTGGGGCCAGGTTTAAAAAAACTGCAATATTAAAAAGTATAGTATTTTCTATAATGTGTGTAGATCACAGGGAGATAGATCTGTGTATAAGGTTATATAGAGATAGATCTGTGTATAAGGTTATAGGGAGATAGATCTGTGTATAAGGTTATAGGGAGATAGATCTGTGTATAAGGTTATATAGAGATAGATCTGTGTATAAGGTCATAGTGAGATAGATCTGTGTATAAGGTTATAGGGAGATAGATCTGTGTATAAGGTCATAGTGAGATAGATCTGTGTATACGGTTATATGGAGATAGATCTGTGTATACTGTTATATGGAGATAGATCTGTGTATAGGGAGATAGATCTGTGTATAAGGTTATATAGAGATAGATCTGTGTATAAGGTTATGGTGAGATAGATCTGTGTATAAGGTTATAGGGAGATAGATCTGTGTATAAGGTCATATGAGATAGATCTGTGTATACTGTTATATGAGATAGATCTGTGTATAAGGTTATAGGGAGATAGATCTGTGTATAAGGTTATATAGAGATAGATCTGTGTATAAGGTTATAGGGAGATAGATCTGTGTATAGGTTATAGGGAGATAGATCTGTGTATAAGGTTATAGTGATCTGTTATAGATCTGTGTATACGTTATATGGAGATAGATCTGTGTATAAGGTTATAGGGAGATAGATCTGTGTATAAGGTTATATAGAGATAGATCTGTGTATAAGGTTATAGGGAGATAGATCTGTGTATAAGGTTATATGGAGATAGATCTGTGTATACTGTTATATGGAGATAGATCTGTGTATAAGGTTATAGTGGAGATAGATCTGTGTATAAGGTTATATGAGATAGATCTGTGTATAGATCTGTGTATACTGTTATATGGAGGTAGATCTGTGTATACGGTTATATGGAGATAGATCTGTGTATACTGTTATATGGAGATAGATCTGTGTATAAGGTTATAGGGAGATAGATCTGTGTATAAGGTTATATAGAGATAGATCTGTGTATAAGGTTATAGGGAGATAGATCTGTGTATACGGTTATATGGAGATAGATCTGTGTATACGGTTATATGGAGATAGATCTGTGTATAAGGTTATATGGAGATAGATCTGTGTATACGGTTATAGGAGATAGATCTGTGTATACTGTTATATAGAGATAGATCTGTGTATAAGGTTATGGTGAGATAGATCTGTGTATACTGTTATATGGAGGTAGATCTGTGTATACGGTTATATGGAGATAGATCTGTGTATACTGTTATAGGAGATAGATCTGTGTATAAGGTTATATAGAGATAGATCTGTGTATACGGTTATAGGGAGATAGATCTGTGTATACGGTTATATGGAGATAGATCTGTGTATACGGTTATATGGAGATAGATCTGTGTATAAGGTTATAGTGGAGATAGATCTGTGTATAAGGTTATATAGAGATAGATCTGTATATACTGTTATATAGAGATAGATCTGTGTATACGGGTTATATGGAGATAGATCTGTGTATAAGGTTATAGTGAGATAGATCTGTGTATAAGGTTATATGGAGATAGATCTGTGTATAATGTTATATAGAGATAGATCTGTGTATACGGTTATATGGAGATAGATCTGTGTATACGGTTATATAGAGATAGATCTGTGTATACGGTTATATGGAGATAGATCTGTGTATAAGGTTATATAGAGATAGATCTGTGTATACGGTTATATGGAGATAGATCTGTGTATAAGGTTATAGTGAGATAGATCTGTGTATACGGTTATATGGAGATAGATCTGTGTATAAGGTTATATGGAGATAGATCTGTGCATACTGTTATATGGAGATAGATCTGTGTATACGGCTATATGGAGATAGATCTGTGTATACTGTTATATAGAGATAGATCTGTGTATAAGGTTATAGGGAGATAGATCTGTGTATAAGGTTATAGTGAGTTAGATCTGTGTATAAGGTTATAGTGAGTTAGATCTGTGTATACGGTTATATAGAGATAGATCTGTGTATAAGGTTATATGGAGATAGATCTGTGTATAAGGTTATAGTGTGATAGATCTGTGTATAAGGTTATAGTGAGTTAGATCTGTGTATAAGGTTACATGGAGATGTCTCTGTTTATTGTGACTATTTTTTCTGTTTTCATATCGATATCTTTGTATAGATTTGCTCCCTCCTCTGACATGGCTATATATTACTGCGATTAAAGGACAGTATGGCCAGGCACCCGGTCCATTCATGATAAACCAGGGATAATTTGTCTCTCTGCTCGCTGGGTCAGCTACACACACTCCCTGAGCTAATCTTTTATTGAAAACGATCTCGTAATGAGACGCAGTGACCCCATTACAGGCTCCTCTCTCATTGGATCACAGGAACAGCTTTCCAGAATCAGTATCACATATCGAACATCCATACCTTGAGCCTGCGCCAAACATCAGTGTGCGATCTGCCTCAGCCCCCAGCCACCATCCTCCAGGGCTTTGAGACAGATCACCCAGAATGTGGCATGACAGCTGATTAGATGACTACTGAGCTATTTAACAAATCTTAAGATTTCTATGTTCTGGGAGAATCATTTGGAGCAATTCAGGGGTCAAATACACTCAATTTAGTAAGATCTGCATTGAGAGACATAAACTGACCCAAAAATAGCCCCCAGAGCAAGCCCTTCACCGTGGTCCTGTATTGGGACTAATTGTTCTGATTTATCCCTACAACTAGCCTAGATAGCTGCTAAGTTGCTCAGGAAGAATATTCTGAATTATCCTCAATATGAAGACATAAATATGCCCAATGATTGTGGGAAGTCCATTTATTTAAAATAAATAAAAATTATTACCCGGCTGCCCCTAACATTTCTTAATAGCCAGAAGGAACCGCGATTATAATCTGTTCCGTATTCTCTGTTACTTTACGAGGTGACAAGTTATAATAGAAATAGGGACCTTTGTACTCCTTCTAATCAAACCCCAATTCTTGCACCCAATGTGGGGGTTCTGCTTCTTTCTACACCCTGTGCTGTGGGATCAATAAATATTTACCAAATTCTGGGCCGCCATTCAATGTTTCCATTAACCTCATCTTCTGTCCAATGGAAATCAAACCTTGAAAACAGCTCTAAAATAATTAACAAAAACCAAGTACAACAATACCCAACCACGTAAGAAGCTTTCATGGAGAGGGAAAACCCAGCTGTAAAGTTAAGGATTTACACCCTCTGCTTCACGGCTGAGGACAATGTGATTGGCTAGGAACTGAAGGAGCCATAAATACTCCTTTACCCCAGTCAGTAGGGATCCTTTAGGCAGAGAAGGATTAAGGTCCCAAGGGGCCCTATGCAGCATACCAGTTTGCCCCCCTTTTTTATTCTTCACATAATGGGAGGTTAATGGAGTTTAGCAAATTCATGGTTCTGGGGCCCTAGGGGGTTAGATCCCATTATTATTTTATTTTTCCCATGTATAGTGCATCACATCGGGTGGGTGGTTTGAGGAGTGTGATGGTGCTTGCCATCAGGTGGGGTAGGTGATAATGGGTTGTCAGATAGTAGCTGCCGCCAGGTGGGGTAGGTGACAATGGGTTGTGAGATGGTGCCTGCCGTCAGGTGGGGTAGGTAGTATTTGGTTGTGCAATAGCTTCACACAACTTTACTGATAAAGGATGGAGCTGCATATTAACAAACAAACAAATTAAGAGAATGCACAGTAATTAAATGGTAAATGGTTTGTTATGAACATATTTTTAGCTCAAAAACTGTTCCAATAAGCAGCACAATAAGCTGTGGTGACTATGCTGCTCAAAGTGTCCCTCCTGTTACCTCTCACACAATCCTCTCTCTAAATCTCTCTGTCCTCCATTTTGCTTCTTTCTCTGTCCATGTATACATTACCTCAACTGTCTTCATATCAGAACTTCATGAACAGCTACCCTCCTTCCAATTCATTGTGTTCATTGTGTTTCAGCTGTCCAAGGAGCACAGGGAAAATTTGCCTACAAACTCATGAACGACTTGTTTGCCAATTACTCTAACGCTCTTCGTCCCGTGGAAGATATGGACAAAGCCATGAATGTCACTCTACAGGTCACCCTGTCCCAAATCATTGACATGGTACTGGTATTATTACACATTGGTATGATTACACCATGTGGACATTGGGGGGAGAGTTGAGAGATACATCTACATGTCTGAAGATCATCCGTGACAGGTTGAAACAACATTTGACATGCCAAATATTCCACTAAAAGATATTATTATTATTATTATGATATTTATATAGCGCCATCAAATTCCGCAGCGCTTTACAATGGGTGGATGAACAGACATGTAGTTGTAACCAGACAAGTTGGACACACAGGAACAGAGGGGTTGAGAGCCCTGCTCAATGAGCTTACATGCTAGAGGGAGTGGGGTAAAATAACACAAAAAGGTAAGGATAGTATTCGACTAGTGACAGTTGCAGAAGAGGAATCAGTCAGGAGCAATTAACAGTTTCATTGATACGCTTTTATGAAGAAGTGGGTCTTTAACGATTTTTTTGAAGGAGTGGAGACTGGGTGAGCATCTAACGGAGGAGGGAAGCGAGTTCCACAGGAACGGTGCAGCCCTCGAGAAATCTTGAAGGTGAGCATCAGAGGTGGGAGTACGGACAGAAGATAGACGCAAGTCTTCAGCAGATCGTAAGGGCCTAGACGGGACATACTTGTGTATAAGAGAGGATAGATAGGTGGGAGCAGCATTATGTACAGATTTGAAAGCATCTACTTATTAGTCCCCAGTCTAGCTTGGATGCCTTCAAATCAGGTGTTTTCAAAGGACAAGTCCAAGCACCATAACCACTACAGAATGCTATACTGGTTAAAATGCCAGGAGTACATTGGCGCCACCCCAATGTAAGTGGTCAGACTGTTTTCCAATGGTTCTTAGATTGGTCTGCTGGGCGCAGTCTCACTCTCCTCACAATTAGAAGCTGCCAACCATTAGCTAATCAATAAGAATGGTTCGCTGACACTCTCAGCCAATAACCTGGCCTCTAGGAGAGCTAATGGAAGTTCCTAACCGGATTTTCAGGCTCTCACTTCTGGCTGTTAGAAGGTGGGGAGCAGCACCTGGCGTATCCCATGTAAGAAGTCAAACTGTTTGAAAACTGGGCACTTTAGTGGTTACGTTTCTTGTAGAGGTCCTTTAATCTTGTTCCCATGTCTGCACTGAGTTTTATTTATTATTATTAGAGTCATCATAGATAAAACTAATCTTTCAAGCTGTGTGTTAAATTCACAGTAAATTGATTTACAATAATAAACTCACATTGTATGTGTTTCTCTCTATCTCTGCAGTATTATATTGAGAAGAGGAGAGAATAGCATTGCTCCATCCATTGTGTTTGCATTGTATGTATTTTTTGTGTTGGTAGAGGGGATACCACACGGGTGTTTGAGCTACTGTAGTCACTCACTGTGCCATTTGTATTTGTTGTTCACATTGTATGGGCTAAAATAATATGAGTGAGACAAACAAATGCAAATGTCATCCCACTGCTTAGCTTTGTGACGTGAATAATATATACAGCATATAAACTGTATGTATGGGTTGGTAGAACAGAATGCCCCATCTGAACGTTTACAGACAAATTTCGACCATACTTCCATCAGCCCCCAATGTGCCAGGTAGCCCGAGCCCCCAAGTAAGGTTTTTTGGGTATCACACATTGAGCACGGGTAGGTAAATGATTAACTCACCTGTGCTGAAAGAGAGGTATCCTGAAAATCTTTAAATCTTTTTGGATCTCAGGGGCTGGTCCTGCCACCACTTAATGCCCGGTCACTCTACATTCCCCGAGGGGTGTTAGCGATGTAAGCTTTCACACCATTAAATCATGCAATAGTTACAGTAAGTGTCATATTGAATATGGAGGATCATTATATGATGGATTGGTAACCAATTTCTCCTCATAATGTATTTTTCTAGGATGAGAGGAACCAGATTCTGATGGCCTATTTGTGGATCCGACAGGTGTGGTTTGATGCCTACCTGCGCTGGAACAAGGACGATTATGATGGGCTTGATACTATCCGTATACCTAGCAGTTATGTATGGAGACCTGATATTGTCCTATATAACAAGTAGGTCGGATGGGTGTTGAGAGCCATCAGTTCGATTCCTATCACTTTTCCAGCCTGGGCTCAGGCAAAGACCTTTACTTCTTCCGTTTCACCTCCATCATAAACTACCATGTCTTGATCACATAACTCCATAGAGAGCTCCTGACCTTGTTAGCGGCTTCCACATGGTTTACGATAGTGACAGGTTATAGAACTCTTTTTAATCGAGTTCTAAGGAAAGTCACTAAAAGTCCTCGCTATCTGAAACGCCAAGGCTAAACAGGTCTGGGTAGTCCTGCATCACTAAATACTCTAATCAAGTAAGTAGGTTAAAAACATATTAATCCATTTTAGAAAAGGCGGACTTCAAGTGGATTGTTGATAAATACTCTTCTAGAGCTAGATGAATGATAGGATTTGATAATGGGTTGATAACAGGAGGATAGGGAAGGAGGTGTAAATACTTTCCATCACTTCACATGAACAAAGAGGAACTTTAATTTTAGGGGTGGGAGAGGAAGTGTCGACAAGGACGGAGCTGGTCTGAGTGTGAGTGGAGGTGTGGACAAGGATGGAGCTGTTCTGAGTGTGAGTGGAGGTGTGAACCGGTGCAGAGCTGATCTGAGATATTTTAGATGACTTAATAATAGCAAATTCTAGGACTTATTTACACAGACTGACTGCCTTTGCCATGGGGAATATAGGGGGTTAGGGGCGGCCCTGAAACACCTAACCTGGGCATAAGGATGACATCTTTTAAACTCTCTGTCATCTCAGGCCGGGTACTAGGTGTCTACCTATGCTGATTTATGGCTAATCCAGCTCTGTGTACCAAAAATTGCATATATTTTTTAATGTATATAATTAATTATTGCAAAAAAATGCATTTACTAAAATTTGCACAAGGACTTCTTAAACACTAAAATGAACCTTTCATTAGCTACGGAACTGGCAGCTAATGGAACCCCCCTTGCAGTCCAGCACTTACTTCCTTGTTAGTACAAAACATTGTCCAATCAATGCCTGAAGCACGGAGGATAATTCTTCAATCCAAGTTTGTCAAAGAGACGGGTGGTTTTATTGGAATGTGGAGATTTATAGAAAGATTTAAGTTGATCTAAGAAGGGCCGCAGAAACATGGTCTTTGCACTATAACAACCTCAAAAGGATGGAGTGATTATGGTGCTTAGCATGTCCCTTTAAGATGTGACCATCCCAGGTAACAGATCACAGATGTTAGATGAAAGTCTGATTAGGTACCATCTAACAGGATCGGATTCTCGGCTTGTCTCGTGAAACCCCACACTGATCTAGGTGCTAGGCTCTCCATTATTTAGGATGGAGGTCTAAGGTCAGGGTAGGATGCCAACTGATATAAAATGATACAAGCAGGATAAAATGAAGAGGTAATTTCAGGCCATTGGAGTAAATTCTTAAAAAGACCCAACGAAGAAAGTAAAAAGTTACAAACTGTTAGCTAGTATGGTGTAAGCAGGAAGGAGCAGCATAGATCAGTTTGTGTATATGTGTCTCTCCCCTGATTTAGCAGTTCCAGTTCCCATTTTGTTCCTTAGGTAGCACAGCGCAAGTGCAGGGCTGGATTTCCCATAAGGCCTCAGGGCAGACCTGCTGGAACCGTGCATCGTTCGTGGTACACCAGGAGTGCTCGGGTCGGGCGAGAAGGAGAAATAGCACTTTCCCCTTCTTCCCCGGCACACATAGCAGCATGTCCTCTCTACCCCGCAAGTAGCCGAAGGAAGGGCAGGATAGCGTGCGGAAATGTCGTCTGCGTAATAGCCCCCCACTACCTCCTGTACCACCGGCTGCCTTCAGTTACAGCAGAAGAAGGGAGCAACTGCTAGAGGGTACAGAGGAGTACAATAAAGGGAGTAAGTGGTGGATGGGATGAATATGAGAACAATTGTGTGAGGAATAATGACTAGGGTACACGTGAGGGAAGGGGAAACAAGAAGTGGGGATGAGGAAAAGAGCAGGGGAAAGAATACGGGAACAAGTGAAGGAAGATGGGACCGACTAGAGGGGAACAACTGGAGAACGAGAGGGTTAGGGGGATATGGACATAATCTGGGAGAGGGAGAGAGGAACACATGTGAGGGAGAAATAAATGAATCGAGGGGGATGGAGAAAAATACAGAGGGGCAGATGGGAATTGGAAACTAAATACACCCATATGCACACTAAATACCCCTACATATACACTAAATATTCCCACATATACACTAAATACTCCCACATATACACTAAATATTCCCACATATACATTAAATATTCCCACATATACACTAAATACCCCCACATATACATTAAATACCCACACATATATACTAAATTCCCCCACATGCACACTAAATACCTCCATATGCACACTAAATACCTCCACATATACACTAAATACCCCACATGCACACTAAATACCCCCACATATATACTAAATACCCCACATGCACACTAAATACCCCCCATATACACTAAATACCCCATATATACACTAAATACCCCCACAAATACACTAAAAATACCCCACATATACACAAAATACCCCCACATTTACATTAAATACCCCACATATACACTAAATACCCCCACACATACAATAAATAACCCACATATACACTAAATACTCACACATATACACTAAATACCCCACATGCACACAAAATACCCCACATATACACTAAATACCCCACATGCATACGAAATACCCTCACATATTCACTAAATACCCCACATGCACATGAAATACCCCACATATACACTAAATACCCCACATGCACACTAAATACCCCACATATACACTAAATACCCCACATGCACACGTAATACCCCACATATACACTAAATACCCTCACATATACACTAAATACCCCACATGCACATGAAATACCCTCAGATATACACCAAATACCCCACATGCACATGAAATACCCTCAGATATACACCAAATACCCCACATGCACACAAAATACCCCACATATACACTAAATACCCCACATGCATACGAAATACCCCACATATACACTAAATACCCCCACATATACACTAAATACCCCACATGCACATGAAATACCCCACATGCACACAAAATACCCCACATATACACTAAATACCCCACATGCACACGAAATACCCCACATATACACTAAATACCCCACATGCACACAAAATACCCCACATATACACTAAATACCCTCACATATACACTAAATACCCCACATATACACTAAATACCCTCACATATACACTAAATACCCCACATGCACACTAAATACCCCACATATACACTAGATACCCCACATGCACACTAAATACCCCACATATACCCTAGATACCCCACATGCACAATAAATACCCCCACATGCACACTAAATCACTAAATAACCCATGTGACACTAAATTCCTCCCACATGCACACTAAATACAATCTGTGTTGAATATCCATTTACTTCCAGATTGCGTCGTTATATGGCAGTGCTGTAATCGTTAGGAGGTATGTAATCCCCTGTTCTGTGTCTGTTGGGAGGTATGTAATCCCCTGTTCTGTGTCTGTTGGGAGGTATGTAATCCCCTGTTCTGTGTCTGTTGGGAGGTATTTAATACCCTGTTCTGTGTCTGTTGGGAGGTATGTAATCCCCTGTTCTGTGTCTGTTGGGAGGTATGTAATCCCCTGTTCTGTGTCTGTTGGGAGGTATGTAATCCCCTGTTCTGTGTCTGTTGGGAGGTATGTAATCCCCTGTTCTGTGTCTGTTGGGAGGTATGTAATCCCCTGTTCTGTGTCTGTTGGGAGGTACGTAATCCCCTGTTCTGTGTCTGTTGGGAGGTGTGTAATCCCCTGTTCTGTGTCTGTTGGGAGGTATGTAATCCCCTGTTCTGTGTCTGTTGGGAGGTATGTAATCCCCTGTTCTGTGTCTGTTGGGAGGTGTGTAATCCCCTGTTCTGTGTCTGTTGGGAGGTATGTAATCCCCTGTTCTGTGTTTGTTGGGCGGTACGTAATCCCCTTTTCTGTGTCTGTTGGGAGGTACGTAATCCCCTGTTCTGTGTCTGTTGGGAGGTACGTAATCCCCTGTTCTGTGTTTGTTGGGAGGTACGTAATCCCCTTTTCTGTGTCTGTTGGGAGGTATGTAATCTCCTGTTCTGTGCTTGTTGGGCGGTATGTAATCCCCTGTTCTGTGTCTGTTGTGAGGTATGTAATCCCCTGTTCTATGTTTGTTGGGAGGTATATGATCCCCTGAGTTCTGTTGCATCACTTCGCACCCCACCACCAATAGGTATCATGTGCCATTGAAGGACAGGAGATTCTAGCCGTTTTCTGTGCTGTACTAAGTAAGTCATATTATAATATCATTCAGTATGCATGGCCAGGCTTTATTAACTGAACTGGCGATTGTGGAACGCTAACCATCTATTTTACCAGCTTGAGATCAGAGTTATTTTCAGTATCGTGAGAGGTATCTAATGGTGACACAGACAGATGTGATACTATTCTTTCCTGGTTAACCTTTTAACATCCAGAGAGTTAAACATGGCATTGTAGAGCATTGTATTGCTTGCTGTCATGGTGTGGTTAGGGTTTAAGGGTCACTATAGGGTCAGGAACACAAACATGTAACCCTGGGCCCCTCATGCTATAGTAACAACCTTACTGTATTCAAGCCTGAAGCTGTAGATCTGCATGCTGTTTGCCTCAAAAAACAACAATCAGTCTGCTGACATCATCAGAAGTGGTAACCTGATCCAATCACAATGCTTCCCCACAGGATTGGCTGAGACTGACAAAGAGGCAGATCAGGGGTAGAGCAGCATGATTCAAACACAGCCCTGGCCAATCAGCATCTCCTTATATAGATGAATTGAATCAATGAATCTCTGTGAGGAAAGTTCAGTGTCTGCATGCAGAGATACGGAATGTTTGGATGCATTTTAGGCAGCCATGACGCAGGAAGGATCTCGAACATCTGAGGAGTGGCCAGTGAAGTTATCACTAGGCTGTAATGTAAACACTGCATTTTCTCTGAAAAGACAGTATTTACAGCAAAAAGCCTGATGGTAATGATTCTACTCACCAGAACAAATTCAATAAGCTGTAGTTGTTCTGGTGACTATAGTGTCCCTTCAATACATCCAGCTTATAGAGATGCATGCAGCAGGGATCTCTTTGGTTCTGAGCAGCCCTGTAATGTGTATTGTTTAGAATGGTCTGTTACTGTAATAGTGCGTATTTTATAAATACTGACTGCTACAGTATCTCTATGTTTTATACATTCTGCTGTATGAACAGGTACCATGTAGCACCATTGACCTGCATTATGTAGAGCGTCACCCAATGAATCTCATACATAAAGCTACAGACAGATGATTCCAGTTAAATATCCAGAAAGTTAAAAAAAACTGCACCACAATCTATCTTCAGCTTTCATTCTGGACTCTGTATCCTGAGCCACCGTATTGTGCACCATAGCTGGGGCCCTGTGTGAAAGCAGACATGGCCCAGTGTTAGATATCAGTGATGGTGGGACTCCCAGGGAACATACTCTGCTGTCGTCCGCTGAGTGACCATCAGTGAGATACAACATGCTAGCTGTCCATTAAATGGAGGCGATTGTTATGCGGCAGGTCCAACACCTGAGTCATCATTACATGGTTATCACAGATCACTTGGTAGCCTACTGCTTGGGTTACCCAGTTTAACAATTGCTGGTATTTCAGATACCAGTTCGTCCGTTTCCTCCTGAACTTCTAGAGGCTGAGTGATTATAGCTCGCAGTTCGGGTGTTGTTTCGAACGTTCTCCACATGAAATACAGCATCCAAGTATATTCCCCAGGTAAATCAGATGGAGACGCAAACATCAGCCTAGACTAGATGAAGGGTGCAACAGGAATTCATTTATTCAGGCCAACTGGCCGGATTATATGCAGTTACAAATGTATAGGGTTTACGGTGGCATTCCCCACTGGACCTGAGAGGGGACAAGGACAAAATACATTCTGCCGTTACATTGGCTCTCAGGTCCAGGACACTGCTACATAAAATAATATAATCCGTCACCTGTGCCTGGGAGATAATTGAGTCAAGCACTATACTAGACTCAATTATTTCCAAACAAAAAACACACATTCACAAACCCCCGAAAGTACCCCAAACCCCATGGAAACCCCACAAAAGGCATATCCTGCTGGGAACCAAAGTTTTGGAGTGACACTTAAGTATAGAACTGAAACATACTGAGGTAAAATAAGTCCCAAAATGTAATAATAGTGCAGAAAAAGTGTAAAAATTAATTACTAAATTAGACTATACCTACGCATACCAATGCTTGGATACTGTAGATTACATTTATTAATGCTTGGGATACAATGCGTGGTATGTCTACCAAATACAAAAAAAAAATTTGGGGTGGTATTTTGTAGACATGCCACGCATTGTATCCCAAGCATTACTAAAGGTAATCTACAGTATCCAAGTGTCACTCCAAAACTTTGGTTCCCAGCAGGAACACCTCTTCGCTACTGCATATATAGGGTCAGGCCCTTTATTTTGGAGGACGTACCATAAGGGACCTTACCTTATCTATAATCTGTATATCCCCTAATAGCCCTGATCTGAGGGACCAACATATTCAAAAATCACCCAGATCGGTTCAGGGATTCGTGAGTTCCATGGCAGTCTTAATTTGACCGACCGTGCACATGGTCCTATGCTCAAAACCTACCAAATAGCGCTCTCCTGGCTGGTAGGTGAAAAGAAGCAGGCATTCGCGAAATTGACCAGCATTCGGGAAGTCGAGTGTCTGGAACTAAAATCAGACACTCGACTTCCCGAATGCTGGTCAATTTCGCCCCTTTACGTGCAACAAGATGGCTGTCGTTTTCTCCCGCATGTGGCGTTCAGCTTTACGAACGGCAGCCACACAGAGAGAGCACTTAGTCTACTGTGTTCTTTGTAGTTAATGAGCCAGGGGGTTGTCGGTGTTCGGTAGTTTTATTTATCAAATGAAGAAAAATCTAAATTATCGAACACAAAGAGTAGTTTCTTCACACCCAGCTATAACTAATGATATCACAGACTATGTGGCTTACTGCTGGGGTTACCCAGCTTTAACTAATGATAGGCACCTAAAAAACGCAAGAGCCAGAGACCACCCGTGTGCTTGTTAAGCCCAATTGACACCTTATAACGAGTTCCACCGTAGTGTTCTAATTCTTTGCCTGGGTGGCCGCAATTCGCATGAAAGACCATGAGGTGGTGGCCATCTTGTTTGCATGAATGGAGGCAGCGGTGTTTGGTCGTCGAGTTCATGGAACTGAAATTGGACACTGAAACTCCCAGACACTCCTGGACTTCCATAAGCGCCTGCGTTCGGTTCTATACAATTTAGAAGGGCACTGTTCGGTGGATTCATTCCCACGAACAAGGTGAACAAGCTACACATGTTAATTATGGATTCCTTTTGGTATTTTATGCACTTTTATACCCCCCAAAGATACTGACCATTAGCACTGATTTCATGAAACTGTTTTGGGCATAGAACCATGTGTGTGGTCGGTCAAATAATTTACTTCCAAGTTAAAAACGAACCACTAAACCGATCTGGGTGATTTTTGGATATGTTGGTCACCCAGATCGGGGCTATCTGAGAATGTGGGGTTTCTATGGATTTTGGGGGTACTTTTGGGATGTTTATAAATTGTATGTTTTTTGTGCGTGAGGGATAATTTAATTATATGTTTGCTTCTCAAATAATTATCTCTCAGGCACAAAGGATCATGGGAGGGATTCCCCTGTATTCTTGTATTGGAAACCACTTGCAGGGGCTTTTGCATAAAAGGCTGTGTGTAGACTCTAATAAACAGATGACTCCCAGCATTAAGCCTTGGCTTATGTGTGGGGGAAGCAGCTACACTGCTATGTCACTTGCTCTTTTACTGGCTATACAGCGATACTCCTTTGGAAGAGAGTTCTTCCCACTGGGAGCTGGATCCATGTGTTTGGTCCAGGGTGGAAAGGGACGGTGAAACGCCAGCCAAGCTGCGGCAGCTAAGGGGGCTACAGTGGTTATGGTGTGTGGTGCTTTCGGTACTTGGTGAGCACTAGGAAGCGTGATTGGCGGAGGTACCCAGTGATTGGCGGTCCGCCACACCCAGCTATAACTAATGATATCACAGATCACGTGGTCTACTGCTGGCGTTACTCAGCTATACCTAATGATATCACAGATCACGTGGCCTGCTGCTGGGATAACCCAGCTGTGGCGAACCGACTGGCACCCCAACTGGGTGCCTCCGCCAATCGATGCTTCCTAGTGCTCACCAAGTACTCCAAGCACTCCACCATACACCATAATTACCGTAAATCCCGCAGCCAGCGTTACAGTTTGGTTGGGATCTCACTGTTCTTCACCCACCCTGGACTCAAGACAAGGATCCAGCTTCCAGTGGGTAGTCCGCTCCCAATCCAGAGAGTAAAGCAGGAAAGCTCTTACAAGAGCTAGTGCTTATAATCCAAGGGAGTATAATGAGTATAGCAATCCCCAGAGTGAATATAGCTGTTCCCTCCACACATAGCTGTTCCCTCCACACATAGCTGTTCCCTCCACCCATGCAAGGGGTTTCATAATACATATTCCAGGGGCATTCCCCACTAGACCTGAGAGGGGACTATGTCAAAGTACACAGTGTAATGACATTGGCTCTCCAATCCCTCCCCTGAGCCTGAGAGATAATTGAGTCAGGAACTGTACTAAACTCAATTATCTCCAGGCACAGAAAACATACATTTTACAATATCCCGAAAGTACCCCCAAAACACATGGAAATCCCAGAAAAAGTCACATCCCCTGATAGCCCCGATCTGGGGGACCAACATATCCATAAATCACCCAGATCAGTCCAGGGGTTTGGGATTTCCATGGAAGTCATAGTTTTGACCGACCGTGCACATGGTCCTATGGTCACATGGCCCTATGCCCAAAACAGTTCCAGGGAATTAGGGCTAACAGTCGGTCTCTGTTTCTGGAGTACAAAAGTACATAAATCACATATGTTTTTAAACGGCCTATAGTCTTTTGGCAAGTGGCTGGCCAGCAGGCCCCTCTAAGAGCCAGTGGCTAGGTTACATTCGCCACACCAGCTATAACTAATGATATCACAGATCCCATGGCCTGCTCCTGGGGTTACTCAACTATAACTGATATTGATATTACAAATCACGTGGTGGCCTACTGCTGGGGTCATCCCACTATAAGTAGTGATATCTCTCTGTACCTTGACATTTGATGTAATTATCCTCCTGCATCTTCCCTTCTCTGAGAAATCGACATGGACTCCGGCTGAACGGGACACTCCCAGTCTATTTATGGCTCAGTACTATTTCACCCGCAGTAAATGGAAATACGATCTCTTCAAAATATGTATTCACAGTTTCCATAGAGTTGGCAAGCTATGGAAAGGAGGGGTATTGTTAGGGTAACCCAGACAGTTATGATGTTCTACAGTTAGGACAGTTATGGTTAAGGCTTTGATTAGAATTTGGTTTAGGATTCGAGAGAGACTAAATGAGTTTCATGACATTCAGGTTGCGTGTTGGGTTAGGCTTAGTGAAACATGTTAGATTAGGGTTAGAATCAGATTTAGGGCTAGTCTAGAATTTTATTCCATGACAGGAGGCGAATATTTTCCAGTTCTCTCTTTACTGAACTCCAATAGCAGCAGCGATCATAACACAAACTACTAACCAATCAAAACCAAGCATGAGGAGGCTGTATAAGCTCTGACTAGAACACACACCCTCTTTCTTTGCTGCTACTTGCCAAGTGCTCAGGTCAAAATATTATACATATACATTTTCTTTTGATATTATAAGTTGTCTCCATATTAATTTTATTATTGTCTTGTATTATTGTCTTTTATTAGTTTGCGTCCCTTCCCCTGGGAGGGAAACATGTAAAGCATGTAATGTGTAATGCACAATTGTGACAAATGCTCCTTACCCTGGACGTTTGTCACGAACTCCTGGAGGAGCTTGCTAGCTAGTCTCCTGCCCAAGGACTATTGGCCACATACAAAGACCCTGTTCAGGAGTTAAATCTCCCCAGCCTCCATTAGCAGCTTTCCCTACGTACTCTGGTTCAGCACTTTCCCTTCATTCGAATGGAACTGAACACTAGCTCCCTGGCGGGCATTCAAATGAAGAAACTCATGAATTGAATTCAACGGTACTTAGCCGCAAATGTTATGGAACTAAATTCGGCATGAGGACTTTGTGGGTTCCCAGTCACCTCAGTGGGTGCGAATGTTATGTTAGCCACAAATGTTATGGAACTGTTTTCCGCATGAGGTGACGTCTCCCGAACAACTTGGTCCGGGTTTTGAACGACTTTGAAGTCCGCCAGAAGAGCCATTTTGGAGGGATGGTGCCTGAAACTGAGGGGATCAAACGCTACCTAAGAGCCAGGCGGAGCACCCCATATTGTGGCCACAGGAGCTGACAAAAGTTGACCGGCAAACACACCAAACGCCCTGGAACTGTTTTGGGCATAGGATCATGTTTGCTGCCGACTTTGACACTTTGGTGTTTCCCCTACACTACATGGATCTGAGCGCTAACTTGGGCTATAATCACTACTGCGCTTGGCACTCTGGAGATTTATAACAGATATACTCAGTCGGAGTATAGGGGATCCGTTACAGCAATTTTCAATTAAATGAGTGCTTCGCTCACCATCCACACGTGTTTTTGGACATGCTGGTCGGCGGAGCCACAAGCTGCTTCTGGACAACCAGTCGCAGGGCAAGCCCTCCATCAGCCTCCTTCTTCCCAGGAACTGCTACATGGACTACCTCCTTCCAGAGAAAAACTAATAGAGCCAGAGGCTCCCAAGGCAGAGGGCATGTACATTTCTCCGCCTCTCCTTAATGCATTCTTCTTAGGCATTGATGGTCGGTAGGCTGTCTGTATTCTTTCAGGAATGTGTGGAGATATCCTCAGATGTATGTGTCTTTCGAGAATCTTTGAGAATCGCTGGGTACCGTGGTCAACAGAGAAAAGTCAGCTTTGACGAACACTCATGTAGTTCAGTTTCTAGGTTTCCAAATTGACTCCAGGAACTGCGTTCTTCGTCTACCTCAATCAAAAATCGCCACTGTCCAAAAATAAATACATTGCCTTCTTCAACTAGATCAGATCCCTCTCTTCCTTCTGGCACTTGTAGTGCATCTTCTTTTAGCATCCATACAGGCTGTCTACCCAGAACCCCTTCACTACAGGGCCATGCAATGGCTTAAAGCCTCAGTACTAGGCATTCATATGATCACATGATACCTCTTAGTTCGGACGTTCCCTTGGAACTTCAATGGTAGCATCTCCACATGTAAAGCAATGCAAATCAATTTTTTTTTCGAGGGCTTGGGTCTCTGGGGCTGGAGAACTCACCATACCGGGTCTTCCATGGTAGACCCTGGTCAGATAGAGAAGTCTGGCTTCATATCAACTTCCTCAAATTGATCATGTGTTACATGATCCACAGCCTAGGCAGGAATCTCATTGACTGTTGTATATTACTTCAGATGGACAATATCTCAGCTGTCCGGTCCATTAATTGTTTAGGAGGAGCATGATCTAAGACACTATCAGACATTACATTTTTCTCTGTCCTGATTTTTTAGGTGTATCTTATATTTCATATTTGCATTTTGAGGATCTTTTGAGGAACCCTCTTGTTATTACCTGACTTGTAAGGGAAGTAATTACCTTTATTGTAATTTTTTATGCTGCACCTGGGTGGTATACATTTGTGTATATATATACTATCAGACATTACAAAGGACAGCTATCAAATTTTTCTTTGACCACAACACTTTCAAGGCAGAATTCCTTCTGACAGTGGATTGGCTCTCCAAACACTGGTGGGACAGCAGCAATTGAAAGCTGACGGACTTAGTATTTCAACTCCTCTTCCAGATGCCAGGTCCTTTCATGCTGGACCTCTTTGCCTCCATGACCAACACCAGCTACTGACATCCTACAGCTGCCTCATGGATCGGAAGGCGCTGCTGTGGACTCTAGTGGAGGACGTGATGTAAGCTCAGCATGACAGGACTCCACAGAAATACGGCCGCAGGATGAGGCTGAGTAATACATTTCCCATCATACCCCGGAAGAGGTTTGCGACGCATCATTTCCAGGCGACGCACGTGACCTTGAAAATCAGGAAGTCGAACAGCACACCAGATTCCACTAATGGAGCATAGACTGCATATATAAACTGGGACACTTCTTAAGAAGCCCAACCTGGGTAAAACGCATCAAGTGGAACTGGGGCACTTTGTTTTTTTGATTTTAAAATAAATAGGCCCTAAAGTAAAATGATGGGGGGACCTATTGTCCTCCCCCCGGCCCCCACCCCTGAGCGGCAGGTGGGGGCCCTACAGTAAAATAAGGGGGGGGACCTAATGTCCTCCCCCCTGGCCCCCACCCCTGAGTGGTGGGTGGGGGCCCTAAATACTAATAAGGGGGGACCTAATGTCCTCCCCCCTGGCCCCTACCCATGAGCAGCGGGTGGGGGCCCTAAATACCAATGGGGGGGGACCTATTGTCCTCCCCCCGGCCCCCACCCCTGAGCGGCAGGTGGGGGCCCTACAGTAAAATAAGGGGGGGGGACCTAATGTCCTCCCCCCTGGCCCCCACCCCTGAGTGGTGGGTGGGGGCCCTAAATACTAATAAGGGGGGACCTAATGTCCTCCCCCCGGCCCCTACCCCTGAACGGCGGGTGGGGGCCCTAAATTGGAATAAGGGGGGGACCTAATGTCCTCCCCCTGGCCCCCACCCCTGAACAGCGGGTGGGGGCCCTAAATACCAATAGGGGGGGACCTATTGTCCTCCCCCCGGCCCCCACCCCAGAGCGGCGGGTGGGGGCCCTAAAAAAATGTTACCCCCCCAGATGACTAGGGGTCCCCTAACCCCTAGTCACCCCCTCCCCCCCAAAAAAAAATGAACCCCCTACCTACCCCCTTCACCCTAAAAATAATGAGTGGGGGACCTTTAACTAAGTATCTGTAAAAAACATTAAACTTACCATTCGATGTTTTCTTTCTTCTAAAATCTTTTTTCAGCCCCAAAAAAGGCCAAATAAAAAATCCATAATAACCGACGCAATTAATTAAAAAATAAAAATAAATCCATCTTCACCCGGCGAGGGCTCCGTGCAGACTGAGCTCTGCAGGGCGGGGGAAGGCTATTAAATGGCCACATCTGCGGATGACCACAGTGGTTTCTTGAATTTTTTCCTTTTACTGACAAGCCTAATGCAATTTTCTGTTGCCTTCAGTAGTGCAACTTTTAAATAATCCAATTTCTCTTGGACTCCATTTAAATTGCTCCAGTCTGATAATGACTCCTTTACACATATTCTAATGTTAGAAAAGTCTGTTTTTCTAAAGTCTAAAACTTTTGTTTTTGTGTGGTGTGACTCAGTCACTGTTCTTATATTAAACCACACTGACTGATGATCACTGGATCCTAGACTTTCACCTACAGTAATATCTGATACCAAATCTCCATTTGTTAACACTAAATCTAGTATGGCCTCTTTACGAGTTGGTTCCTCAACGACTTGTTTTAGAGACAATCCCAGTAGGGAGTTTAGAATACAGGGAGTGCAGAATTATTAGGCAAATTAGTATTTTGACCACATCATCCTCTTTATGCATGTTGTTTTACTCCAAGCTGTATAGGCTCGAAAGCCTACTACCAATTAAGCATATTAGGTGATGTGCATCTCTGTAATGAGAAGGGGTGTGGTCTAATGACATCAACACCCTATATCAGGTGTGCATAATTATTAGGCAACTTCCTTTCCTTTGGCAAAATGGGTCAAAAGAAGGACTTGACAGGCTCAGAAAAGTCAAAAATAGTGAGATATCTTGCAGAGGGATGCAGCACTCTTAAAATTGCAAAGCTTCTGAAGCGTGATCATCGAACAATCAAGCGTTTCATTCAAAATAGTCAACAGGGTCGCAAGAAGCGTGTGGAAAAACCAAGGCGCAAAATAACTGCCCATGAACTGAGAAAAGTCAAGCGTGCAGCTGCCACGATGCCACTTGCCACCAGTTTGGCCATATTTCAGAGCTGCAACATCACTGAGTGCCCAAAAGCACAAGGTGTGCAATACTCAGAGACATGGCCAAGGTAAGAAAGGCTGAAAGACGACCACCACTGAACAAGACACACAAGCTGAAACGTCAAGACTGGGCAAAGAAATATCTCAAGACTGATTTTTCTAAGGTTTTATGGACTGATGAAATGAGAGTGAGTCTTGATGGGCCAGATGGATGGGCCAGATGGATGGGCCCGTGGCTGGATTGGTAAAGGGCAGAGAGCTCCAGTCCGACTCAGACGCCAGCAAGGTGGAGGTGGAGTACTGGTTTGGGCTGGTATCATCAAAGATGAGCTTGTGGGGCCTTTTCGGGTTGAGGATGGAGTCAAGCTCAACTCCCAGTCCTACTGCCAGTTCCTGGAAGACACCTTCTTCAAGCAGTGGTACAGGAAGAAGTCTGCATCCTTCAAGAAAAACATGATTTTCATGCAGGACAATGCTCCATCACACGCGTCCAAGTACTCCACAGCGCGGCTGGCAAGAAAGGGTATAAAAGAAGAAAATCTAATGACATGGCCTCCTTGTTCACCTGATCTGAACCCCATTGAGAACCTGTGGTCCATCATCAAATGTGAGATTTACAAGAAGGGAAAACAGTACACCTCTCTGAACAGTGTCTGGGAGGCTGTGGTTGCTGCTGCACGCAATGTTGATGGTGAACAGATCAAAACACTGACAGAATCCATGGATGGCAGGTTTTTGAGTGTCCTTGCAAAGAAAGGTGGCCATATTGGTCACTGATTTGTTTTTGTTTTGTTTTTGAATGTCAGAAATGTATATTTGTGAATGTTGAGATGTTATATTGGTTTCACTGGTAATAATAAATAATTGAAATGGGTATATATTTGTTTTTTGTTAAGTTGCCTAATAATTATGCACAGTAATAGTCACCTGCACACACAGATATCCCCCTAACATAGCTAAAACTAAAAACAAACTAAAAACTACTTCCAAAATATTCAGCTTTGATATTAATGAGTTTTTTGGGTTCATTGAGAACATGGTTGTTGTTCAATAATAAAATTAATCCTCAAAAATACAACTTGCCTAATAATTCTGCACTCCCTGTACATCATAGCAAAACCTCTGAACTGCTCACTGAAAACATTTGTTCCCTTTTGTGAAAGATGCAAACCATCTTTTTTGTACAGTTTATTTCCATTCCAAACAGAGCTACCATGAGAAATAAAGCCAAATCCTTGCTCCCGACACCATTCATCAAGCCACAAGTTAAAGTCCCTAATACGCATCCGCCTGTCGTTCTGAGTGTTATGCACAGGCAGAACTTCAGAGAATGACAGTGTGGAAGCAACCTGCCGTATATCATTGGCAAAAACACTAAAACTTCCTTAACCTCTGAAACCTCATTGCAAGCCAAGTCATTTGTCCCTAGATGGACAAGTACATCCAATTCCCCTTCCTGCTTTGCTCGCTTAACAATATTACAGATACGTCTCCTGTCTCTGTGAGCAGTAGCTCCAGGAAGACACCTCACAAGACCACCATTGTCCATCTCCACACCTCTTATAATGGAATCCCCACAACAACAACTGCTTTCTATTAGGCCTCACCATAGTCTCCAAGCCTGTCTCCACAACACCACTACCCTCGGTGCCTGAGCCTGTCTCCATAACACCACTAGCCTCAGTGCTTAAGCACGTCTCCACAACACCACTAGCCTCAGTGCCTGAACCTGTCTCCACAACACCACTACCCTCATTGCCTCTCTCCACAACACCACTACCCTCAGTGCCTGTCTCCATAACACCATTACACTCTGAAAGTGCAGAAAATGAATTATGTAGAGCAACAGACTGTGCAAAATGCCTTTTATCCACAACTCTAAGTCTTCCAGATCCTACAGTAATCCATCTGCCGTTCCTAGTATGTCTCTGCGGCAGTGGCTTTGCAGCAGTTCCAGCCTGAATTTGTTTACCAGATAATTTACAAATCTCAGACTTAAAAAATACAATCTCCTGCTGCAAGATAGAGAACTGTCTACAGATTAGACAACAACCAAACCTCCAAAAAGTGGAACGTGAAACAAATGCATAGCAACTATTACACTGAACTAAGTCTGCCATTCCAATGAGGTGACTAATTTTAATCAAACAAATCTTAACTTTTTTATTTATCCTCCTGAATACCAGGTTATCTCCAGAATATCTCCAACCACACACTTAGAAGCAGCACTCTCCAGAATATCTCCAGCCACACACTTAGAAGCAGCACTCAGATGAAGCAACCAAGCTGTATTAGCCAAGCTAATGACAATAACCCTTATATAACTCCTAAAATCACCACCCACTAGGAATGTTTAACATCTGGGTAGGCCTATGCTTATTTGCAAACAATAGCTAATTAAACAGCAATCAATATCAAGTAGCTAACTAATCAAATCAAATTCCTTATAATTACCAACAGGAAATCAAACCTTGTGCAATCAGTAACCTTTTCCTACAGATGAATCTTACCTGTAACAGTAAAAAAGAAAACTCTTAGCACAACTCTTAGACAGTTGAAGCTTCTGTAAAACTCTCCAGAATATCTCCAACCACACACTTAGAAGCAGCACTTAGATGAAGCAACCAAGCTATATTAGCCAAGTTAATGACAACAACCCTTATATAACTTCTAAAATCACCACCCACTAGGAATGTTGAACACTAGATGGGGATTATACCATCCAAGCGCTACACAGCGGAGCTCTTAGCAGCTCTAAAAAATGTGAGTTAGTCTTCTCTTGGTTAAAATCTTTTAAATTGATGAGATATTGCACTATTATTTCCTTCTTTCTGTTTTCTTCTGAGGTTTTTAAAGACAGAAATTATTGATCTTTAATATTGTATGGATATATTTTACATAACACATTGTTGCACATAAGTTTCACATAAACTATTTTTTTGCGGGGTCAACCACTTTTTTTGTTTTTACGTATCGAACTGCATGGTCTTTGTCAAGCGTGTAGGTCGAAATGTTGTGTTACATTGGGCTTCAATAAATTGCTGTCTTCTATCTTGGAGTGCCTAAACCTTTTTGTACTTTATGTATACTGTTATTGGGACCTGATGATTGGTCCTGGTTTGGTTGCTCCATGGCTCAGAGTGGTGAGACAGAGGGCAGTTCCTTATTGTTTCTTGAAATAGACGTTACACGTTATGATCTGCCAACAAGATACATGTTATATTCTTCTTCCCAATTTTCAATATTAGATGCATTTTGCATATCTTCTCTTGTGTTTCAGAGTAACTTCAGCTGGAGAATCTACCCTACGTTTCTTGACTTTCTTCTCACAGTGGAGTCCTCATCGTACTGTTTCCTTACGCTGGAGTGTTTGATTTTGACTGACTTTCTGTATGCTTGTTTATTGTTATTATTATTGTTCACAGCAAAGAAAGAGGAGAAGCTTGTTCCTCATACTTGTTTTTGATTGGTTAGTAGTTTGTGTTATGCTCTGTGCTGCTATTGGAGTTCAGTAAAGTGAGAATTCCTAAATATTCACTTCCTGTAATTATCAAAATTCAGATTATAGGACACTAAAGCTAGCATAATCTCTAATAATCACTAACACTAATTCTAACCCATCTGTGATTATTCACTACAGTATGAACTGTCAGGGATTTAAAGTGAATTAAAGGTGTTTTCACATCTGAGGCCAAAATAGTCAAAATAGAGCATTCTCCTATGTTCCCAGATTAGCTCTTCTAGCCTTATATTTGAAATTCACTTTGAATTCACTTTGAGAATTCCTGACAATTCTCTCTTTAGTAAATAACCGTATAACTCCTGACTTTCAGTGATGTAACACAGCCCAGTTTAGCTCTAACTTTTGTTTACTAGAAGTGAATATACAGTCATGAAAAAAAGAAAGTACACCCTCTTTGAATTCTATGGTTTTACATATCAGGACAATAACAATCATCAGTTACTTACCAGGTCTTAAAATTAGGTAAATTCAATCTCAGATGAACAACAATACATGACATATTATACAGTGTTATGATTTATTTAAATATATATATAAAGGGAGCCATATGTGAAACACCAAGTACACCCTTAAGGTTTCCATAGAGATAAAGATAAAGATATAAAGTAGCAGACAGGTGCTGCTAATCAAATGCCCTTGATTAATTGATCATCAGCAAGTGTGACCATCTATATGAAAGACAATGTTATAGCAGTTTGCTGATCTGGGGCATTCAGGTAAGTGTTAAAATAATGCTATGGAGAAATGAAATCAGCAATTGTTGCTGCCCATCAAACTGGGAATCGTTATAAGGCCATTTCCAAAAGTCCATCATTCTACAGCGAGAAAGATTATTCCAAAGTGGAAACATTCAAGACAGTTGCCAATCTTCCCAGGAGTGGACATCCCAGCAAATTCACCACGAGGTCAGACCATGCAATGCTCAGAGAAATTGCAAGGTAAACAAAAGTTACATCTCAGACTCTAAAGGCCTCAGTTAGTATGTTAAATGTTAAAGTTCATGGCAGTACAATTAGAAATAGAATGAACATGTATGGTTTATTTGGAAGTTTTACTTGTAGAAAGACTCTTCTCTCTAAAAACATGTCGGTATAGCTAAGGTTTGTAAATTTGGTAGCTAAGGTTTGCATCTGAACAAACCACAAGTCTTCTGGAACAATGTTGTTTGGACAGATGAGACCAAAGTGGAGATGTTTTGCCACAATTCACAGCGCCATGTTTGGTGAAAGCACTGTGGTGGAAGGACAGGCCTGGACTGGACATTGGAAAAACTGGACAAATGCTTGGTGTGCCACGATGGCCATGGCCCGCGGCTAACAGGGGAGATCAGAGGTTCTCTCCTGCTGGCCCATGAAGAACAGGCACTATCCAAGCACAGGCACTGCTGTGTGCCATTACATGGCAGTAGAGAGATCAAAGATCTCTGTCAGGTTTCAAAACTGACATGTAAGACTTTTTCGTTTATTACTGGCCCTTTAAGTGAACTTCATGATTTTCTCCTCTAGTGGCCTCCCTAGCCACTAATCTATTCACTCACCTTAATAACCTCACCTGGATTAACTAATTAGGAGGCTTGATAAGTCTACTCCCGGCACACAACAGTGCCTTGACATTGAAGTCTATGCCATGATAAAGAATCTCTGTTCCTGGTAATATCCTGTATTTTATCTACATTATTTCATTCTGTAGAGGACTTACATGCATTGCCTCATCCTGTACTCATCTGCATTTCCTCATACTGAAAGGCACTAACCTGCATTACTTCATCCTGAACTTGTCTGAATTACATCTTACTGAAAGACTTTCCTTATCGGCTTCCAAGAATCCTGATTTGTGGTGTATTGCCTTCAATAAAGAATCTTAACTGCTTCAATTGCTGCATCACTGCGTGATCTCGTAAGCAGCCTGCATTATATTATTTTGGAATATTCCTACCTGTTTCAACCTCTGCAACTCTGCACGATTCTGTATTGCCTTATCCTAAAAGGTATTTACCTAAAACTAGCTGCATTGCAAAGTATCCTTGAAATCCCTAACTACTTGGTATAACTTCAAGCCTGCTTGTATACAAAATACTTTATTCATTTACTTTCTAAAGATCTTGTTTGTGGCATATCACCTAAACCCTGTTTTTTCTCACAAAGTATCCTGTCTGTGGCAGACTGCCATTTATTCTTTATTTTCAGTAAATTTATGTCTAATACGACAAATAAAGTTTTAACCAATAACCCTTGCAATCGTCTCTTCTCTGACCTGCTCAAGAGCATGATAATCGCCCACACTGACCCACAGGCACTTCACTGCGACAGCCAGGAGAGGAAGAGTGGACCCAGGGGCTCTAGCCAGCAGCACCACTGGGTTCTTCGTCTCACTGGGTCGGAGCATTGGCACAGTTGCTGCTAAATGTGGTTCTACAATCTATTGAGTCCTAAAGTGTACTTAGTCTTTCACACATGTTTTTTTTCCATTTTGGCTGTATTTTGTTATTAAATCATGACACATTGTAATATGTCATGTATTGTTGATCATCTGAGGCTGTATTCACCTAATTGTAATACCTGCTAAGGAACAGATTACTGTTATTATGTCCTGCCATGGAAAACCATAGAATTCAAAGAGGGGGTACTTTCTTTTTCCCATGACTGTAAATGAATTTGTAGGCCAATGAACCAACTGGGTTAGTGGATTTCTCCACTCCTGAATGCACATAATGACTATAACAAACTTCAGGACTATTTTCTCTTTACAGTGCTGATGACCAGTTCACAGGGTCCATGGAAACCAATGTAGTCATTCGTTTTGATGGTCAAATTATGTGGGATTCTCCAGCCATCACAAAAAGCTCCTGCAAGGTTGATGTCTCCTTCTTCCCATTTGATGCTCAGCAGTGTCGCTTAACGTTTGGCTCATGGACATATAATGGAAATCAGATTGACATTCTCAATCATTTAGATACGGGGGACTTGACAGACTTTGTGGAAAACGTGGAGTGGGAGGTGCTCGGCATGCCAGCCAAGAAGAATGTAATCACCTATGGGTGTTGTTCTGAGCCTTACCCAGATGTCACCTACACCCTTATTTTGAAGAGGAGAGCTTCCTTTTACATCTTTAACCTACTCCTCCCATGTGTAATGATCTCCTTCCTGGCACCCCTGGGATTCTATCTTCCTGCTGACTCTGGGGAGAAAGTGTCCCTTGGTGTCACTGTCCTATTGGCTCTCACTGTTTTCCAGCTCTTGGTGGCAGAGAGCATGCCACCCTCAGAAAATGTGCCACTAATCGGTGAGTAGTTTAATATAAACAAGTAATCACAAAATCATGTTTTAGTCAAATATTTATTGCAAAACACTGTAGAAGGACGACATACCTTGTGAGGAGGGGGTTTGTTGTATCACAAGATGGTGCATTTTAAATGAGGTTGCCTTTGATTAGAAGTTTTAGAGAAGGCCACTATATCTCTGACAGTGCAGGTTTAGGTTCAGCCATCTATGGAGTGATACCTTACAGAGAAAACCACTATTACTGCCTGGTGCAGGTTTAGGGTCAGCAATCTTTAGAGTGATATGTTATAGATAAGGTAGCGCTATGTCTGACTGGCGCAGGTTTAGGGTCAGCTATCTATAGAGTGATAGAGAAGACTACCGTATCTCCAAACAGTGAAGGTTTATGGGTAGCTATATATAGAGTGATCCGTTATAGAGAAGGCTGCATGTTTGTGGAAGAAGCAGTTTTAAAGAACTTTGGAAGTGTGGAGAGAAGACAGCAGAAGAGCCTTAGAGGGTTTAGGGAGAGTAAGTAGGGAAAAGGCAAGAATTTGACAGTTTTGGAAGGGTACAGAGGGAAAGAGGGAAAGAGGGCCAAAGGGGTGAGGGTTGGCTAGTGGGATATAAGGAACCACAAGATTTCTGATGTGAGTCCTGGCCATAGATGGGGTGAGCCATTTTTGAGAATGTGTCCATTTCACAGGAGGAAACAATTTCTGTTAAGATTAGTTACTACATATCTATTTTTTAAATATCAAGTTGCTATATATTAGGAGTGAGCAGGTTTAGTGAGTATTAGTCAAACCCTGAATGGAGAAATTCTTATACAGTCATCATTTCTCTGGATTTGAAAGGTGTTTCATAATGTTTAATAGTGATTTGAATTGTTGTAATAGAAGAGAAGAGAACTGCACACTTCTATAAATCTAGCAGGTTTACATTCCGTATCGATATCTCTCCATTAATAGCATTAACTGATCAATACAAAAGTGTTGCTTTGATCACATATAAATGCTGTAATTATTTGGTTATAAAAACACGACATGCTAAAACTAATTCTATAGTCTGTGAATTTTAAATGCATGTAAAATAGTCAATTACTGTCACTGTCTCATTGCAGGAAAGTATTACATTGCAACTATGACAATGATAACAGCCTCAACAGCTTTAACTATCTTCATAATGAATATACATCACTGTGGGCCCGAGGCTAAGCCAGTTCCAAAATGGGCAAAGAAGTTTATTCTGCAGTACATGTCTAGGATATTCTTTGTATATGAGGTGGGGGAGAGCTGTAGAAGACCAAAACCAGAGCCTGGAAAGGTGCCGAAGGTCCAGGAGATAAATGGACAGGCTAAAAGGAAGGAAACCACAGCCATTTCAAACAAATGTGCAGAGAATGACGACCCAAAGAGTCCACAGAAGATGGAAGATGTTCTGGGACATGAAAATGCTTTTAAAAAGGATGCTTCCAGTGAATGGAAGGAGAATGGGAAATACTCAGAGAAGGGTGGTGGTGGGAATGAGAGTGGACACTCAGAGTGTTCCAAGGCCCATTGTTTGTGCCACAATGAGCGCTTGCTCAAAAACATTGAATATATGGCCAACTGCTTCCGGGAGCAAAAAGCAGCTCAAAAACGGACAGGGGAGTGGAAGAAGGTTGCCAAGGTCATGGACAGGTTCTTCATGTGGGTTTTCTTTATTATGGTATTTTTCATGAGTGTACTGATTATGGGCAAAGCCATCTGATAGACATTGCACTCTCACCTTTTGGGATCAAAGGCAGCTTCCATTGGGTCCATGCATTCTAAACCTGCTGGTCTTCAATTCCATCCTATGAATAAGAAAGCCATATTGGAGATCTAGTCTGCATGTTTCCTGGTGATCAAGTCATGTGGCGACTAGTCACTTCATATGTCACAACAATAAAAAAACAAGTCATATTGAAATAGGTTTGTCCTTAATTGGGTTCTACTTAGAACATACTCAAGTTGTCACTTCATATAATGTGGTCACAAAGTGTGTGAAACATAACGATAGATTATAACAGGGATTGTGAAACATAACGATAGATTATAACAGGGATTGTGAAACATAATGATAGGTTTTAATAGTAATATATTCCTCTTAATTAGAGGTATCTAACAGCCCATGATAGAAGCACATTTTGTATAGAAACTACACTAGTTACAGATCAGAGATCAATGGGATCTGTATTACTGCAGAGCCTCAGTGGGTAATTAGAGAGTTTACTGGCGGGTCCTATCAAATCAGTTTACAAGGGATGAGGGTGTAATTCACTTACTTCTAGGGGGAGAAGCTTTAGATGGCCAGGTAACACATCCATAGGGTACTAAACGATAATCTATCACATTCCCAAATTGAAAATTATACATTTACGTAAGAAGATAAACCTTTGTGACTTAACATCTGATATCATGATATAACAGAACCATCCAGAATGTGACCAGCCAATATCATGATATAATAGAACCCTACTGTAAATGACCAGCCAATATTATGATACAATAGAACCATACAGGAAGTGACCAGCCAGTATCATTATATAATAGAACTCTCCAGTAAATGACTAACTGATATCATGATATAATAGTATAACAGTAAGTGACCAGCTGATATCATGATATAATAGAACCCTTCAGTAATTTACCAGCTGATATCATGATTTAAAAGAACCCTCCAGTAAGTGACCAGCTGATATATGATATAATAGAACCCTCCAGTAATTTACCAGATCATATCATGATATAATAGACCCATCCACTAAGTGACCAGCTAATATCATGATATACAGTATCTCACAAAAGTGAGTACACCCCTCACATTTTTGTAAATATTTTATTATATCTTTTCATGTGACAACACTGAAGAAATGACACTCTGCTACAATGTAAAGTAGCAAGTGTACAGCCTGGATAACAGTGTAAATTTGCTGTCCCCTCAAAATAACTCAACACACAGCCATTAATGTCTAAACCGTTGGCAACAAAAGTGAGTACACCCCTAAGTGGTAATGTAGCGTATACCGCACCCAGAATTAAATGTACAAAAAATATACTGTAACAGAGCTCTCTGTACCCCGGCTGGGTACGTCTGCCAAGGACCGCTTCCTAGTTAGAACAGGGGACAAACCTCAGCACTCCTGTCCCCAGTCGCCGTGACTTGACTGGGGTCCTGGAACCACTACATCCTTGAGCCGAATGAGGAACTCGCTCTATCCACTCCCAGGCACTGGACAACACTCAGTCCTGCGAGCTCTAGTCCTTACAAGGACTTTCCCCGTTGAATCCTCCACACTGGAACAAGCTTGAATAGTGATTAGACCTTTTCCCTCCCAGTAACCAGGCGACACATAGTTCTGGGAGTACAAGCTGGAATGCTTTAATCTGGACAGCTGGCCTGCTTTTATACAATTCAGAGTAACAGCAAACACGCCCAGGACACTCCAACATAAAACAGGGTAATCCCTCTCCTGTGCCTGAGAGTTAATTGTTTCAGGAACTCAATTATCTCCAGGCACAGAAAACACACAGTTTATAAAAACACCCCAAAATACACATAAAATACATTAAAACTCCACAAAAGTTACATCGCCTGATAGCCCCGATTTGGGTGACCAACATACCAAAAATCACCCAGATCGATTCAGGGGTTCGAGATTTTCATGGAAGTCAATTATTTGACCGAACGCACACATCAACTTCGGTAACATAAAAATGAATAAAATACCGAACGTAGTCTCTATTTGAACCATGGAGCTTGTTCCCCTCATCCAGACTAACGATTCCACCGAACAGTGTTCTCTTAGGATTAATAGAACTGAACGCAGGTGATTATGGGAGTCCAGCAGTGTTCGGGAGCTTCTGTGTCCGATTTTAGTTCCATGAACTCGACAACCAAACAGTGCTGCGTGCGTTTATGCAAACAAGATGGCTGCCACCTAATGGTCGTTCATACAAATTGTGGCCACCCAGACGAACAATTAAAACACTTAGGTGAGAACCGTTCCAAGGTGTTAACAGGAGTTAACAAGCTCCTGGGTGGTCCCTGGTTCGTGCGGTTGTTCGGTTCCCAAATGGTATTGGGAAATTACACGAACCAAGCCATTTAAACAGTCTTTTACAGGTTTCCCTGCAGGGCCCATAGTCTGTGGGCAGGAGGCTGGCAAGCAGGCTCCTCCAGGAGCTTGAGGGAAACTCACAAGGAAAGGGATATTTGTCACATATAAGTACATAAATCTTCAGATGGTATAATAATGTAGACCTCAGAAGAACAAAAAGAATACGATAATAGTGCAATACAGTATAATATAGATAATAATCGAGATAATAAGATCCACTCACATGTTTTTGAGCTATCTTAGAGCTCTGCTGTGTTGTGCATAGATGGTATAATCCCTGTCTAAGGATATATGGTGATGTAGTCGATACTGATGCTCCAAATGCGATGCAACATGCGTGGTATGTATGGAGATAAATACAAAAAGGAAAAACTCCAATGGTGAATAAGAAAGGAAATAAAATAGTGTACTTACATTTCCCAGAGCAGAACTTGCTCTGGTTTGAACGCTATGGATGGTATAATCCCCACCTATGGATGTGATGGTACCAGGAAGCAGAGGATGAATAAAAGATAAATAACTATAAAAAGTTAACTTTTACTTAACCAAAACAATAAGAAAAACCACAAAAAGTTATAAAATTAATAACGAGTCCCACTTGACGCGTTTCGTCCTCTCCAAGGCTTTCTCAAAAGTGTGGTTTAGTCCTTACAATGTTCCGTTTTTATATGAGGATCTTAATTGTAAATGGCTTCCTAGTGGTTCTAATTTCCGGTTTTCTTGAAACGCATGCGTCACGTCGGAAGTGACTCGGCGGCGATCTATCATTGGTGATGTTAATGGGCTTATTTCCGGGTTCCCATTCTCCAAATGGAACGCACGTTTTTAACACTTATTAGTGCCCAGTCTCCAATCTAGATTACAACACTCCTCCCACTATTTCTAGTCATGTGTATGCAACACTATGATGAACAATATGGCCACCTGTGTTTTTCCTTACATTCAATGCTGGTCGTATATATACATGTCTGGTGGTTATATCTGAGCTTGCCACTTTATTTATAATACCATAATACCTCCATGAGAACTTAGATTTCTTTAGCATTAGTAATCAACATACAATCTACAACCAAAAGAGTTATGTTATCTTTTTGATAGAAGATAAGAATTTATATATTCTTAATGTATATTTAACTGAAGCCTTTTGTAAACATGGCCACTGAGTCATTACTGCCTTACAGATATATGGGACGAGCATGAGTTCTAAATACCACTATATTATACCTCCACCGTATTATTCTGCAGGAGGTGGGGCTTTCATATGACAGTAATGTCAGCCCCTCACAGACTTAACAGAGACTTACATCATAAGTCTATCCTTGCAAGCGCGCTGTCTTGGCGTCATACTTGATTCTGGCCTCACCTTTGAGCCTCACATCCAGTATGTTGCCAAATCCTATAGATTACATCTTAAAAACATAGCCCGCATCCTCCCCTTTTTTACACAAGATGCTATCAAGGTAATAATAAGTAGTAAGTTCCCACATGGATTATTGTAACCCCTACTAATTGGTCTTCCCAAAAGCCGTATTGCTCCGCTGCAATCTGTAATGAATGCTGCCGCCAGACTGATTTTCCTCTATAGTCGGTCCTCTCACACCTCACCCATTCTGTCAGTCCTTACATTGGCTTCCTGTATACTATAGGAGTCAATTCAAAGTGCTAACCCATACATATAAAGCACTGAAAAATTCTAGCCCCTCTTATATCTCTTCACTGATCCATAGATCTGCACCTCCTCTGTCTCTCCGCTCTGCCCGTGACCTTCTCCTGTCCGCTGCTCGCACACGTACGGCCAATTCACGCTTGCAGGACTTCTCGCGGGCGGATCCCTTCCTTTGGAATAGCCTGCCTACCACCATCAGACTCTCCCCTAGTCTTCAATCCTTTAAGAAGTGCCTTAAAACCCATCTCTGTAGGAAGGCTTATGGCCTTCCAGAGTAACCTCTCCCTCACATACCTGTTTCTTGCTCTCTCTTATAGGGCAGCACTTTACTTTCTCCTCCAGCTCTGCTTCACTCCCACCTTATTTGATTGATATTTCCTGTCCTAATGTGTTTTACACCCCACCTCCTACAGACTGTAAGCTCGTTTGTGCATGGTCCTCTTCAACCTATCGTTCCTGTAAGTTTTCTTGTAATTGTCCCATTTATAGTTAAATCCCCCCTCTCATAATATTGTAAAGTGCTACAGAATCTGTTGGCGCTATATAAATAGCAATAAAATTAATAATAATGAGCATTTGGAACGCAACGTACGCCACTGTTGCATTACGTGCATTCCAATTAGATGCGCAATAAGCCTATAAAAAGTAGCAGCGATGGAACACGCCGCATCACTTCTGGTGTGACGCGTGCTTTCCAATTGGAGAAGAGGAACCCGAAAATAAGCCCATTAACATCACCAATGATAGATCACCGCCGAGTCACTTCTGACTCGACACATGCGTTTCAAGAAAACCGGAAATTAGAACCACCAGGAAGCCATCTACAATTAAGATCCTCATATAAAAACTGAACATTGTTAAGACTAAACCATACTTTTGAAAAAGCCTTGGAGAGGCAAAACGCGTCAAGTGGGACTCTTTATATTAATTTTATACCTTTTTAGAGTTTTTATTATTGTTTTGGTTAAATA